GGCTGGAGGAGCCTCTTTCGCCCGGCTCCGGACTGCGCGCCTCAGTGCCACGGCGGCACCTTCGCGGGCAGCGCGTGCGCGTATCCTTCGCGGGTGCAAGGCAGCGGGGCTCTGCGGGGGCAGGGCAGGCGGCACCCCCGGGAGTGTTGGAAAAGGGGGAGACAAGCCCCAGTGACAGGATGTCTGGGAAAGAAGGAGAGGAGGTGCGCGGAATGGGCCCTGGGAGGAGGGAGGCTGGGATAGGAGGGCAGGCCCCGTGGGGCAGCTCACTGGGGATGTGCAATTAGCTGTCCCACAAGGTGGCTGCCTCAGGAATAGGTGGGAGTGCCACCCCTGCATGGATCATTCAGTTGCCCTCATATTTTGATGTGGATGGGGTTGGCCCAATGGATGAGCTTATCTTCCTGAGTGGTTTTATAGGAAGAGGCATTGTTAGGGTACCCCACATACCCAGTCCCTGTGAGGGCCTCCAGTATGGTGGCAACATAGGGTTATTATTGGATTTGGAAGCTAGAAGAGATAATTTTGACCATCTTGCATCAATATATTGTAATATTACAGAAGATACATTGGCATAAAATATCCTTTTTTTAGATTTAGCCTTTTAACATCAAAGAGAATAAAAGTATCTAAAACCGTGTGGGGACTGAACTTTTTTTCTGTTTTTGGAACTCCTTTAATAAGAACAGCCATGCTGGGTCAGACCAAAATTCTAAAGGCCAGCTAAATCGACCACTGATTGCAGTCCTGTTGACTTGGGTACTCCACTGGAGTGAAAAGAGTAAAGGAAGCTAAAGGAGGAGTTTCTCCCATCGACCCCCAGTAGTGGCGATGCCTTAGAAACTTGAACTAATGTATGTTGACTCCAATTATGCTAGTCACGTTGCTGGAGTTGCATTCCTTATTTTGACATTGCCCCCAGGGTAGACCAGGCTGAAAAATTTGTTTCCCTGTTCTCTGTAAAAAAACAACATTGGTCCTGTAGCACCTTAGAGAATAACAAAAATATATAAATAGTATATGAGTTTTCGTGGGCACAACTCACTTCTTCAGATGGCATATAAGAAGTGGGTTGTACCCTAGGGATACTTATCTGGTAGTCGAGTCACTACTTGAGTACTCGCTTCCTCACTCCTCCCCTCCCTCCCCCTGCTGCCTCTGTACCAGCTCTTGCGCAAGAGGGCTTACACTTGTTAGAAAAGAGTGAGTGTAGCTCTTGTGCAAGAAGCCCTGTCTTCCAATGCTGTACTGTAAATCTTCTTGTGCAAGAGCGGGCGAGCAGTGTGGATGCTCTGCGGGTTCTTGCACAAGAATGGCAGTTCTTGTGCAAGAATCTTCCAATACAGACATAGCCAAGCAGTCCCCGCTCGCACCAGGTCCCAACTGATATGCCTCTGCCTTTGAAATGTAGCAGGAAAAGCCCGCCGGGACTTTTGTTACATTTCAAAGGCAAAAGGGCCACAGTTCCGTGCTCCGCCTCTGCCTTTTAAATGTAGTAAGAGCCACAGGCATCTCTCATTACATTTAAAATGCAGCGGTGCAGCTGGGATAGCGAGCGCCACATCTACCCCTTATTGACTAATCATGTAGTTGATGGAAATTCCATTGACTGCTCATTCCACGAGGAGTAACGGTAGTTCGAACTAGGAAGCCTAGTTCGAACAACCTAGTTCGTGCCGCGTGTAGCCGCGCGGCACGGGGTTCGAACCAGCCGGGATTTAAAAATGGCGGCGCCCGTCTTATGCAAATGAAGCCCGGGAAATTCAAATCCCGGGCTTCATTTGCAATTGCGGTATGCCTACATTACCCTGCTAGTTCAAAATAGCGGGGTAGTGTAGACATACCCTTACTTGCTTCAGGACCAGTGTTGTTTTTTTAACTGTTATTAGTTACAGACTAACACAACTACCCCTCTAAGACTCTGTATTACCTATGTGCCTAGTAATTGTATTTCTGCTGCACCTATTGCTATAATAGCTAAGCATAAGGGAAATATCTGATTAAATATTATTATGATTTATTATTATTATCAGGGCTCGACAAATTGTGTAATCTACTTGCCTATGGCGAGTAGATTACAAGCTGGCACAGCCAGCACCACTCGATCTGCCCATGTGCAGCGCAATCTGTGCATGCGCAGCTCGCAGAACCGCACGGCTGGCGAGCAGGGCTCGCCACCACTTGGTGAGCCCTGATTATTATTTATTTTTGTTAAGTGGTGGCATGTTTGGTTTTAAAAAGACAAAGAGAAACACCCAGTCTCTAAACCAAAAGAAACTAACAGACGCTGTGTTAAGACAAGGCAAATATTGGATCCTGCTTGACAGTAACTGTATATGTATGTATTTTAAGCAAGATATTGAAGAATTTTGAATTGTAATTACTCATTACATTACAGATTAAACAATTATCATTTTGGAGGTTTTAAATTTTATTTTAAGAAATATTTTCCATTTGATAACCTTGCTATTTGGTAGATCAGATCATAAAGAATGATGTATCCTCAGCTCTAAATAGAAAAACTATAATTCTGTGTGGTACCATCATAAACCAAGAGTGCAAAGCCTGAGTGATAGAAATTGAGAGATGGAATTGCATTCTTAATGTATGTATATTAAGACAGTACCTTATTTAAAATTATATCTTTATGATAAGCCATTGCCTAATTTGAAGAATTATCATTTTTAGTTTAGTTATGGATAACGATTACATATTCTCAAAAAAGTCCATAACGCTCAAGTCATGTAAAAGAATCCATGCAAATAGGTTATTATGTCCATGACGAGTATAATTTTATATCTGTGGCTAAGACTGCAAATTCATTTGCAATCAGTCTAAAACTTAATAAGAATACTAAATAGAAATTTCAAGGATTTTATATGTATATATATATTTGTCCTTAACATAAAGTCATGGTCAGAACTTTGAAATTTCTTCTTGAGAGAGATTTAGAAGAAGAGCGTGAAGCATTACTAGAGGATCAAAAAATATGTCGAAGTCGGACACGAAAACATTGTATAGAGACAAACAAAAGAAGAAAGTAAGTAATTATGGGATTTGGTTGGGGGGGCATTACGTTTGCATTTTGTAAGAACTTAGTCAAGTTATTGGGTATTTGCAATATAGATACTGATAATCTCACTTTTTAAAAAAATGGATCTAAATATTAGCCCAGCTCCATTCCAAAGGAATCAAAGATTAGTTGTTATAAAACACTCCAAATATGAAAAGAACAGTGTAAATCTTTTTCAGAGTTTCTCATTTTTATGGAAAAGTTTTTCTTTTATTAGCTTTGTTGATCAGGATTACCTTCCTTTAACAATATTTCTTCATCTTCTATGCCTCATGTATTCCTTGTGTTCTCAAAATTCTCATTGGCTTTAGTGGAAACTTTCAATTTGCAACAAAAATATAGGGTTGGACCCTTTTTATTTTATTTGTAACAGTTATTTTGTGGCTGAAGCAAAATACAGGACTATGTAGCACTTTAAAGACTAACAAGATGGTTTATTAGATGATGAGCTTTCGTGGGCCAGACCCACTTCCTCAGATCAAATAGTGGAAGAAAATAGTCACAACCATATATACCAAAGGATACAATTTTAAAAAAATGAATACATATGAAAAGGACAAATAAAATTTCAGAACCAAAGGGGGATGCGGGGGGGAGGGGGTTATTTTGTGGGTATTTTAAATGGCAACTCTGAACTTTCTAATTTTCCTAATGTCATGCAAAAACATGACAATTGGCTAAAAAAAAAAAGGATCTAGTACAATATTTTGACTGGTAACCTTTGAAAAGAATAATAAACTAAATCGAGGTATCAAGATAAGGCGTTTTGTTTTGTTATATAACTGCTGTTATTGCTATGCAGTTGATATGTACACTGTTAGTTATTTTATTAATCTTGAAATGTTATTATTTTGATGTAACAACTAGGATTGCCAATTTTCTAATCCTACAACACTGAAAACCCTTGCCATGACCCATGCCTTCCTCCACCCCCTCGCCCTAAGTTCACCTACTGTTGGGGGGGGGGGGAGCTGGAGGTTGCATGCTTGTAGCAGAACTTACTGCTGGTACCACTAGCTGTGACTTCAAATTTATTTCTGATTTTAAATATAGATCCATACTGCCCACTGTACTCTCTTCCTGTTCCTAATAGCAGTAAGATCACTACGCTGTTGGAGTCTACAGAATGTAGCAGAGCTGCTGTTCTACTTTCTCTGCCTTGTGTTATGTTACCTTTTGCATCACAAAGCAGAGGGAAGCAGGTGGCCTAACATTTTTGTTACCACTTTTCAGCAACATAGTAATTATTACCAGAATGTGTTTGAAAGACAAATTTTATGACAAACTTTGAGCCCAAATCTGAAATAACATAGTTCCCTGCACTGTAAGCTAAGTCCATGAGAATTCCTTATATATATAGGGCATGCAGGTTTGAGCCTTTGATTTTCAAACTTTTCCATATTTATTGATTTTGCATAGTATTTCTTAACTTCTGAAATTTCACGAGTTAGCTTATTTTTATATTTATGATTTTAAAAAGAAATTCTATTGTGTGCTGTAATATAGTGCTATTAAAAATGGAACCATATGTGTTCTGTCAAATGATGAAATACAAAAATATTGAAACATATGCCTGATATACATGTTCAAATTAGAGGTTTGAACACTCCCTGGAGGGGGCAGCCTTGTTCTGGAGAGTACAGGATAGGGTGGGGTCAAAGAGCAAAGGAGTTTGGGGTGAGGGCATGGTGGGGTCACAGGGCAAGAGGGTATTGACATGGGCTGCAGGGCTCAAAGGTGAAAGGGGCACAGGGCATATGGGTGGAGGTCAAAGCTGCTAGGCACTGGGGAGCAAGGGTCTGGGTTGGGGCTAGGCAGAGAGGCAACATTTTATTTATATATTCATTATTTGCATAGTGAATATGCAAATATGCAAATAAATGTTACTAGTCTGCCAAAAGTTTGTGAATCTGTTTGCTGGTCTACAGTATAAAAAAGGTTAGGAATCATTGTATTGCAGAATACAAGCAAGGTCTGTGCCCCCTTTGCTGGCTTAGTAGCACTAAGGCTGTGTCTAGACTATATCCCTTTTCTCGAAAAAGGGATGTAAATTAGATACTTCGATATTGCAAATGAAGCTGGGATTTAAATTTCCCGCACTTCTTTTGCATAATTGCGGCCATAGGTTTTTTTTCAAAACGGGGCTTTTCGGTAGAAAAACAGCAGTTTAGACGGGGATCTTTTGAATATAAAACTCTTTTTCTAAAGATTCTGTAAACCTCATTTTTTGAGGAGTATAGAATCTTTCGAAAAAGGGTTTTATTTTTGAAAGATCCCCATCTAAACTGCCGTTTTTCTATCGAAAAGCCCCATTTTGAAAAAAACCAAGGCTGCCATTATTCAAATGAAGCACGGGAAATTTAAATCCCTGCTTCATTTGCAATATCGAAGTGTCTAATTTACATCCCTTTTTCAAAAAAAGGGATGTAGTCTAGACACAGCCTAATACATGAAAGGTACTTCACTTCCAGAGATGTAGGGCAGATAGTATATAATGCTCTCACATGTCTTAGATATTTTGTAAACTACAAAAAATTTGGGGGTGATTTTTTCTTTGCTTTGCACCTTATAGCAGTCATGTTCAGTGATGCAAAATGAGTTTAAAATAGTAAATTTCTCATCTGTCAGTGGTTTACCTTAACTTTGTGATAACTTTGCATTAGTTTAAATAACCACACAAAATGCAGGGTGCTGGAAAATTGGGCTCCAGATGTCTAAGGATATGTCTACACTAAAAATACTACAGCAGCACTGCTCTCACTATGCCACTGTAGTGCTGTTGTGTAGACACTTGATGCAGTGATGAAAAGGTTCTTCCATTGCAATAGTAAACCCCCTTCTCTGAGAGATGGAAGGTAGATTATTTCCATTGACTTAGAGGAGGCTATACCAGGGTGTACTTAGGCTTCAGTTGCACAGGGCATGACATTTTTCATAACCCTGAACCTAGCTTTGTAGTGTAGACTGTCCCTAAGATAGTTTTCAAATATCACTCCCTTAAACAGACTGTTTTCATGCACGTTGCTTAGGCAGAAGTTAATTGGTGTCTTTTTTACACTTCTTCATTCTTTGTGTTTAGTCTACATTTGCTTGTATAATTTCATAAAACTAATCAGGAAATATTTCCACCATCTGCATAGTCTGCTGTTTTTTAGTATCATTGATACATGCTTTGTAATGTCTGAGCAGTGAATTGTTGGTGAAACTGTTAAACCTCTTAAAGCATTAGATTTCAGATTTGCTTATAAACACTTTAGCAGCTATTGCAGAAATTACTGTAGGGCTACTCAACACGTGGCCTGTATGTTTGCAGCCTGCGGTGCAGTTTGGATTTACATGGGGCTCAATATGTAGCCCGCGAGTGGGAACCAAAACAAAGTAGTAGTCAATATAATGGTCTTCTGTTGATACGTGTTTTAGAATTCTTGGACTGTCATTGTTCATTAACAGTGCTGTCATATGGGTGGAAATCAGGTAAATCTTGCATTTTGTTAATATCACCAGAACATACTTAAATGAGGCCTGTGTGTTGTGTCGTCTTGCCTTGATCTTTGTATTCATGCCTGACAGTGTGAAAGAAGCTATTTGCATATATTTGCATATATATTTGCATGTACTGTACATGCAACCACACTTAAGTTGTGGCCCTCAGCATGTGCTGTATGTATCATTGTGGCCCCAGGACTTCCAAAGTTAAGTAACCCTGAATTATTGCTTCACTGGACTGTTTATAGAAGACAGAGAAACTAGGTTAAAACAATAAAAGTGAGGAAATTATTCTGCTAACTCTCTTGCATAGAATTGTAGGACTGGAACGGATCTTCAGAGGTCATTTAGTCCAAGCCCTGCATTTATGGCATGACTAAGTATTATTTAGATCATCAGTGATAGGTGTTTGTAACCCGTTCTTCAAAATTTTTAAATGTTAGGGATTCGCCTTAGCAGTGTTCCCTGTAAGCTGAGCTCTTGGGCCGCTGCCCAGGAATGATTCAAATGCCACCCAGCTAGGGTTGCCAGGTGTCCAGTTTTGAACCGGACAGTCCAGTATTTGAGCTTTCTGTTTGGGAAACAAATTGAGAAAATATAAATGTCCGGTATTTTCTAAATAAGATGTAATGTAGATTGTGATGTAATGTCAAGTGTCTCCGGTATTTTTGTTGAAACCATCAGCCACCCTACGCCCAGCTGACTAGCAGAGAGCCCACAGCCAGCAGCACATATTTCTATTGATAGTGCACATCCCCACATGCCTCAGAGCACATAACAACATGTATTCCTCATATAGATGAAAAAATTAAAGGGAACATTATTCTCTAGGCAATTTATTCCCCGGCTTAACTACCCTGACAGGAAGTTTTCCCTAGTGGCCACTAAACCTGTGTGAGGTGGGGGCTCCCCCAGCGTAAGACGATGGCAACCCACCCTGGCTTAGTTTAGCCCTGTCTTCAAGTGACGGGCTGCCCGCATCCTGGGAATGAGGCTTAGTGCCATGGCCCAGAGGAGGTCCCAACCTACAGGGCCTATTAGGTCGCTGGGGAGATCCTGCTCTCCCTGGCTGTGTGTCCCCTTCCTGGCTGTGTGTCCAGTGAACAGTCTTTCAGTTCCTGATCCGGAGTCCGACCAGGTCGGCTCGGCCTGGTCGTGGGTCCCTTGCTGTATGAAGAGGGGTTGGTTGGGTAGAGGGGCCCGGGCCCACCCTCTCCTCCAGGCCCTGGCCCGGGGCCCTAGGAATGGCAAGTTGTCTTCAGGGGGTCCCTTTCAGGAGCCGATGCCAACTGACTCCTGGACTCTGCTTAGTCGCTCTTTCCCCTGGGCCTCTTCCTACCCCGTCACACACTGCGTCTCTGCATACAACCCTGACCGATGTTCCTGCGCCTTACCGCCGCTCTGTCTTCATGATTCTCCGGTCGCTGTAAGGTCTCGGTAACTGTGGTGCTCACTCCCCTGCCGTACCCCAGCCAGTGTCCTGGTCGTCAAACCATCACATGTCTCTCTGCTGTCCCCTCCTGGAGGGCTCCCTGGTATGGTAACGGCTGCTGGTGGTCTGCCTGCTAGTCTGCCGACCTTGGTCTTGGGCCCCTGGGGCCGGTCTCCCTTGCTTCCCACCCCAGCGGCCCCTGTAGCTGCTGCGCTCCTGCTGGACTCCTTGGCAGCCGGTGTTCCCCCCACTTCCTGGGCTCTTTCCACTGCTCACTGCTGTTCCTCCTCAGTTTCTCTCTCCCCACTCCTCCGGAAGCAGCTGCCACATCCACTCCTGCCTCTGCTCCGGACACCTGGCTGGCGTCCCCCGCTTCACCCAGCTCACTCGCCCTGTTCGGGCATGCCAGAGTTCCTTTTGAACAGCCCCCCAGTCCACTTGCACATGCGCCGGAGCTCCTCGGCATGCCACGCTGTCTGCCACCCAGCGCTGCGGCTTGTTCACAGAGGGAGCGGGGCGACGGCGCCCCGTCATGTCCAGACTAAACAAATCCAGTTATTTTCATCTTCCCTCATAAGTAGGGTGATAATATGTACTGTTTTGGCAAGGACAATAACTTTTTAAGCTCTGTCCTGGTCATCCTTATTTTTTTTAGCTAAAGTGAACATTGGTTCCAGATGCTCATGCCAACTGATGATCCTTTTGGCTATATTTTCCTAGTTTGTTTATGAGAAGATAATGTGAGACAATGTCAAAAACCTTACTAAAGTCAAGATATATCACACCCACTGCTTTCCCCATCTACAATGCTTTTTACCTAGTCCAAGAAGATTGGTTTGACAGGATTTGTTCTTCTCAAATCCATACTTACCAGCATTTTCTGTAAGTGCACACTTGTGCAATTGTTCAGGAGAGATTAGCCCAACAGATTAGCAGAGTGCCCACAGCTAGTTTTTTTTTGTTTTATTGGTTGTACACATGTGCACATAAAAAATTTTTTTGCACATGAAGGGAAAAGATTAGAGGGAACATTGATGCTGACTTTTGCTTATCGTCTTATTATCATCTAAATGTTTGCAAATTGATTGCTTAATTGTTTGTTCCATTATCTTTCTAAGTACTGAAGATAAATTGACTAGTCTGTAATTTCCAGAATTATCCTTATTTCCCTCTTTATAGATTAGCACTATAGTTTCCCTTTTATAGTCCTCTGTAAACTCTCCTGTTTTGTGTGATTTTTCAGAGATAATTGCTAATTGCTCAGGTATTTTCTCCAACAGCTAGGATGTGTTTCCTGAGGACCTTGTGATTTGAAAACATCTGATTTGTTT